AAAAAAAAACAATAAAAAAACACGAAAACAACCACCAAACAAAAAAACAAAACCGAGAGGAAAAAAAAACAAAAAAAAAAGGAAAAAAAAATAAGATACATGTGTCATGATGTTCTACGAATGATCCATTGTAAATTTAAATGCCATTTTTCACTGTACTGGTGAACAAAATGCGATGAATAAAATACATTAATGTACTGAGGCGAGGCCAGCAGCTGCCTGCTCCTTTCTGTCCCTTCCAGGCACCAGCTGGTTTCGGGGTGCCTGTGGGATGGGGTGGCATGGGGAGGGAGGGCTGGCCCTGGAGTCCTTCACTGGCTCCCGGCACAGGGGGAGCCACTGGCTGGCCCCACTACACCCTTTGCCCGAAATAAATGCCTCTTCAGTCTGTCCCTCTGAGAAGGGGTCCTCCCCACGCCTCCTGTAGGGGGGTGGGTTTGGTGCCCAAAGAACCCCTGGGGACACCCCAGGTAGCACCTGCAGAGCCGTGGCACTGGCACCCAGGCACAGCTAGCCCTGCCACCAGCCCTGGCACCGGCGTTTCACTAGGCCAGGTGTGTGTGCGACTCCAGGGTTGTCACCGCAGCCAGGAACAGGGATGGAGAAGGATGGGGCAGTGTGCCACCCTGCCTGCTCACCTGCCCTGTGGTGCCCCCAGCCCCTCGCTGGCATGTCCCTTTCCACCCAGCCAGGGGGTGACAAGGACATGGTGCCCTTGTGCACCCCCGTGGCCTCAGAGGCTGATCTAGGGGTGCCATGGTGGGACAGGGGGGCAGTGAGAAACCCCAGCCCTACCCCCAGTGCCAGCAGCCCGCATCCTGCCCCTAGCCCCACTGCCTGGGCGGGGGGCAGGGGAGGGACAGGGAGCTGCTCCCTGCAAGATGGATGGGTGGAATTAAACCCGATTTGGCTTCATTACCGGCCGCAAAGCCCAGAGCCCTGGCTGCTCTCCAGCTGGGCCAGAGAAGGGCTTGGGGGGAGGGAGAGGGGCCACAGCATCTCCCGCTACCCCCCAGGAGGAGGCCAAGACTCATCCCTACCCCTTTTCTCCCATTACTCACATCTCTGAGCAGCTTGGGAGGCTGCACCAGTTCCCTGTCCCCAACCCACGAGGGTGGAGCAGCTTAAGGCTTTACGAAGGTGGAGGGACAAGGGGAAACCCCTCCTCGGGTCACAGCTGGATGGCAAAGAGATAGTCCTCATCATCATCCAGGGGGGCAGGGGGCAGCGGGGCAGGGGGAGC